TCCCTAACTCACATTCATATATATATATATATATATATATATATATATATATATATATATATACTAGGGCCAATTTAGACAGGATCCAATTCACCTACAAGCATGTCTTTTGGACCAATTTCACTCTGAACCACTTGTCTGTTTCTAAATGGTGATTATATCCCTGCTTAATTATCTCTTAAAGTGATTGTAAACCCTCACCTTGTAAAACAACCCATTCAGTTTAAAAACATCAGCTGCATAAGGAGCTCAGTGAAGAGAAACTTCAGCACACTGATCTTCCCAGTGAATGGCTGTGCAAGGAGAGGCGTGTCTGGAGAAGTCTGATCATTGGAGAAAAGCACACTGATTTCCCATCACAGCTAGATAACTGACCGCAGTGTGTTCTTCTGTCTAGTGTGGTCAATTTTCAATAGGAAAGCAGAGGGACTGGGAGGAACACCAGGGATTTCACACAAAGTAAGCAATACAAAGAGAACAGGATACGTTTTCATACAAGTACATGGTACAACAGGCACATATCAGGAATAGGAAATGTTAGATTTACATATTCCTCGCCCTCCTGAGGATGTACCCCCCTTTCTGACCAGGCCATTTTTTGCGTTATGGTGTTGCATTACTTTAACTGACAATTGCGCGGTCATGCAACGCTGCACCCAAATTACATTTATGTCCTTTTTTCCAATGAATCAAGCATTCTTTTGGTGGTATTTGATCACCTGTGCGTTTTTTATTTTTTGCGCTATAAAAAAAAGACCAACAATTTTGAGAAAAAAACTATATTTTTTACTTTTTGCTATTAAACACGACCAGTAAAAAAATGTAAAAATCAAATTTCGTAATAAATTTAGGCCAAAATGTATTCTGCTAAATGTCTTTGCTAAAAAAAATTCCAATACATGTAAATTAATTGGTTTACATGAAAGTTATAGCGTTTACAAATGGTGGTATAGATACTGGAATTTTTTTTTTTACTAGTAATGGCGGCGATCAGCGACTTATAGCGGGACTGCGGCAGACAGTCTGACACTGGGGGGAACTGACTTGGTGTCACTGACATCCCCAGTGACACCAATACAGTGATCAGTGCTAAAAAAGCATTGATATTGTACTAATGGCACTGGGCAGGAAGGGGTTAACATCTGGGGCGATCAAAGGGTTAACTGTGTGCAGGGAGTGTTTTACTATGGGGCCGTGTCAGTGTACTTCACTGTTATCACACTGCTCTGGATGACTGTGCTGTGCACACCCATCCACAGCAGTGTGCCTGAGCTGAGAGGGAGGAGAACTGTTATTAAACAAAACAGTCCTCCTCACCGGAGATCCTCGGAAATCACCGGCACTGGCGAGTAATTACCGGCCAGGACCTGGTGATTGACAGCCGTGGTCGCTAAAGGTGGTGTGGGTAGGGCATGCGCGCCCCCTACCTGGAAATGCAAAATCATGTATATATATATGTGATTTTGTGCACCGGATATCGTATGTACTTTCCAGCGCTTCAGGAAATGCACAGCCAAAGGGAAGCCAAGGGAACCAGGACAGTGACAACTAAAGGAAATGCTTCAGGGGTGCAGCCCACCTCAGACGGGGAGATCAGCCACTAGACAAAGAATAAACAGGTGGCGCACATACCTAGTGCATTATCCAAGGTTTATTCAAAGGCAGGGGCGGACTGACAACTCATGGGGCCCCCGGGCAATAGGGGATCATGGGGCCCCTGTGTCCTCACCCACACTCAAACCACACCCAAAAAAGCCTATGAAAGGTACCAGGGGCATCTCATGGGGCCCCCTACTGACCCGGGGCCCTCGGGCAGTGCCCGAGTTCCCAAATGGTCAGTCTGCCCCTGTTCAAAGTATAAAGGATAAAAACATACTCACACACGAAGCATGTATCTAAAAAGCATTTGCATTATGAAGATGGCCACAACGGCAAGCAAGGTGTTCCAACTGTCAGTACGGTCAAATGGCTGATGCGTTTTATCCTTTATACCTTTGAATAAACCTATAACACTAGGTGTGTGCGCCACCTGTTTGTGATTTTTTGCCCACCCGTGCCGCCCTGTAGCAGTATTTCTGCTATAGGGCGACGAGAAGCGGTTAAGGGCTTAAGCTGTTAAAGCAGTATTAAACCCAAAAGCAAATATTTATTATATTGCAGCTTACCAATTCTTAAATGTGGTGGCTGCATTAGATTTCTTTTTTAGGTGATCCAGCCAGAAAGTCTGTTTTTCAAAAGAACAAGCTCTCCTGCAAATTAGTATCAGGTACAGGAATAGGCAAACCATTTACCACCGACAAGGGTGCTTACGATGGTCAGCTTTTATTTATGTAAACTCTATATCCCAAAAGGAAATAAACTTGGTGTAGCTGCTTATGAAGTGTGAGATGGAGTTTTGCTTCAGTTTTAGTGTAAATCTTCTAGGCCATCTAACTCTCCCCTCCCCCCCCCTCAGACCAATAATGCTGCTTTCCAAATGTGCTCATTCATCCAGTATGGAGGCACTCTAAAGTCCTGTACACTCGATGAGAATATCAGACAAAAGATCATCCCTTTTTTTTTGGCATACTAGTATGCAATTGAAAATGCAGAGGTAACTAAAGTTGTGAAAATTCTTGTATGACAGAACAAAAGTTCGGAGGTGATATAATGTATTTTTTTTTTTGGACGAAAACTGTACTGATTAAACAAAAATTGTATGTTCTGGTATCGTATGAGAAAAATTGTAGTGTTTGTCCTGAAGGTGTGTTACTGGGAAGATAACCAGGTGAAAATAGATGGAAAAAAACTAAAAAAAAAAAAAGGAAAACTAAGGCAACCACCACATCTAATGACACCTGTGATCTAATCCTACAGTACAACAAGGTTTTTTCCATACATGCAGTGTATATGTGTCACCTGGGTTTCCGCATACACATGGTAAGGAATTTCAGTGTTTGTGGATGAGAACAAAAGCCTTTCTTTTGTATTCTCAGAATTTCAAAAAGTTCTGTGCTTGGTCCTGGAACCAAGAGGCTTTGCAGAGTCAATAGTGGGATAAAACCTTCAATGCTACCTCTTACCTGGTAGCCAGACCTTATTATTAGTCTCAGGTATCCACAGGCCTTTTTTATAAGTGGACTGAGTAATGCTCAGGGCTTCCTTCCTACTGGTTTGTGAAAAGGCTGACTGCTGACAGAACACTAAAAAAAAAAGTACAAGAGCTGCCTGCTTGTGTCGGGGAACCCATTTCACGTTTCTAGTTAGGGACTGACCTGAGTTTAGTTAGTGGCTCAGCTGAGCAGGTATTTTATTGTTTTTATGTATGGTTGTGGTGTACAAAGCCCTCTTTCACTAAAAAATGTGTGTGTTCGCTGCCTTGCTGAATAAGTCCTCATGCACACGGGACGTTTTTACAGCTACTGTTTTTGGCTTTTGGCCTTTTTTCTACAGCCAGTAAAATCCCAAGCATTTTATCCTGTGACCATGCACACATAGGCTTTTGGCCTCATGCACACTGGACATTATAAAAATGCCAGTAGAGTTGCTGCAATAAAAACGTGAGGTTTTTTTTGCGTTTTTTAGCTTTTTTGCATTAGCTTTTTTGCCAGCATTTTTTGTTTAGTATTTTTCAGCGTTTGTGTTTTTAGCAAAGTTATACTCTCATAACATCTTTAGGTTCAAAAATGCTCATAAACAGCATTGGGCAGCACAGTGGCTAAATGGGCAGCACAGTGGCTAAATGGTTAGCACGTCCGCCTGGCAGTACCAAGGTCGTTGGTTCGAATTCCAGCCACGGCACCACCTGCCTGGAGTTTGCATGTTCTCCCTGTGCCTGCGTGGGTTTCCTCTGGGTTCTCCAGTTTCCTACCACACTCCAAAGACATGTCGGTAGGTTAATTGGATCCTGTCTAAATTGTCCCTAGTATGTGTATGTATGAATGTGAGTTAGGGACCTTAGATTGTACACCCCTTGAGGGTTAGGGACTGATGTGAATGTACAATATATATGTAAAGCACTGCGTAAATTGACGGCGCTATATAAGTACCTGTAATAATAAATAAATAAACGCTGGATAGCCGTGTTTTTTTTAGCATCCTTCAGCTTTTATCAGTGTTTTTCAGCTTTTAACAGCATTTTTCAGCTTTTATTAGTCCTCATGCACACTGGGTGTTTTGATAATGCTGGTAACGTTGCGTTAAAAAACTTGAGTTTTTCAGTTTTTTGGTAGTGTTTTTGCATTGACGTTTTTCCATGTTTGCGTTATTTAGTGGTTTTTTTTTACCAAAAAAACCCTCTTTGTTTATGGTCAAAAAAAGTCCAAAAACGCTGGTTTGCGACTTTTTGCTGCATTTTTAACGTTAGAGCATTTTTACAGCTAAAAAAAACTCCTCTAGAAACCCACTAGTACTGGGGTGTCCAATGTCCAGTGTGCATGAGGACTTAATCAGTGTTTTTTTTGCAGGGGCGTTTTTTGTCTGGAAAAAAAACCCCACTTTTTGGACTTTTTTTGAGCAAGCATTTTTGGGGTGGAAAAAAAACGCTGATAATTCTAAAAAATGCAAATGCAGTAAAACACGGCAAAATGCAGCTAAATGCTAATGCAAAAATGCTGAAAAACTCAGATTTTACACATCTAACGTTACCAGCGTTATTAAAACGCCCCGTGTGCATGGAGCCTAAGAGTGCAGGACGAACCTGTTTGGACTGTTCCTGGGTGTCCCTATCTCCTACGTGGTTTCCCTCTACCAGTCAAGTCTGTCCTCCCTTGACCATTTTCTAAGCCTATTCATACAGATGCAGAATCCAGGAGAAAAGGAACGGGCCCAACTTTAAGGGGTTTCTGCAAAGCCAATGTGACTGAAACTGAAAAGACACACTTAATAAACACTACCTTGTTTTACTTGTTTAGAAACAAAAATGACATATTTTGAATTCTGTCAAGACAATTCATTACTTCTTTTTGCACAATTTCCATTAAGCATCTTCATAACATATGCACACAATTTTGTTTTGACAGATACAGAGAAATGCATATTCAGTTTTATTTGATGAGAAGTTTTCCATACCGCTCGATCCGATGGCGCTGGAGGAAAACAGCCTGAGGTTCGCTATTTTTGGAATAGATGGAGATGAAAGGAATATCAGTACGGGAGTTGCAGAGCTGAAATTGTCAGACTTGGATTTGGCTATGCGACCATTCAATACCTGGATATACCTACAAGATGTCAATAAGGTATTGTTTTACTACGTACTGAAGAGATTATTTACCAAAGAAGTTGATTGCTCCCATTTAAAGTGGAACTACAATAAAGATTTTTTTTAAAATTTTGGATAGTGTGGGGAAGAGTAAGATTATCTTTCAGATGTTTATATGTTTGTGTATAAAGATTTTTTTTTTAAGTTTTGGATAGTGTGGGGAAGAGTAAGATTATCTTTCAGATGTTTATATGTTGTTTGTGTATAAAGATTTTTTTTTTAGGTTTTGGATAGTGTGGGGAAGAGTAAGATTATCTTTCAGATGTTTATATGTTGTCTGTGCACTAGTAAGATCTCCTTTTATTTTTTGTCACAGAGACATGACTGTCCATTGTGAGGTTCCACCACTCACAGTGGTCTGCATTGGAAGATATATTGTACAGTCAAATGTTTGTAGAAACCTAACCATAACATCTAAATGAGCTTGTTGGACATCCCATTCCAAAATCATGGGTATTGCTATGCATTGGTCCTACATTCTTCAGGGGGCCCTTCACAAATATGTACGAGGTATCTGTGGAAATTTGTGCCCATTCAGCCAAAAGAGCATTTGTGAGATCATCTACAGATGGTGGATGAGAAGACCTGGCTCATAATTGGTGCACCAATTCATCTCATAGGTGTCCAGTAGGATTGAGGTCCAGTAGCTGTGCAAGCCAATCTAGTTCCTCAAAACCAATCTCATCACCTAGCTTTTGTGCCCATGACTAGTATAGGAAAACACAAGAACAAATGAGAGAGATACTTAGGAAGCCCATAGATGATTCTTGTTTTTTTTTTTTTTTTCATTCAACGATTCCCCTAACCACACATTTGAGGTGGATAGGGGAAACCTCCCTGCTGAGCCCCTGTATTCTGAAAACGGAGACTTTCCTGCTGTCAGAATACACTGGTTAGCACTGCCGGTGCTGATCAAGAAGGTTTCCAACAGCGCAGTTGTACAGAAGTCAATCAGTAGATTGATCACTGTACAACCACCCTGCCCATACATGGATTCGGCCGGTCTCTGCTGAAATGGCCTGCTTTCTATCCATGTTTGGCTGGTTTTAGAGATCACAAAATCAAATTAGGTCAGATTTGTGACATGAGGATAATGGCTGAATTGTGAATGGCATGAAATTGACCGAAATTAAAATTGTAAACATATATAAATAAGCCGTGGTGGAACACACATCTCCTTTGTTTTTCAGGCTGTAGATGCAGTAGGGGAGATTCTGTTGTCTCTCAGTTACCTCCCAACAGCTGAGCGTCTCACCGTGGTGGTGGTTAAAGGAAAGAACTTGCTGTGGACAGAAGGAAAGACCACAGCAGGTAAGAGAGAAATAATCATTGTAAAAGTCACATTCATTAGCAAATGTCCTGTAGAAGATATGGTATAAATAAAAAGCTTTGATCAGTAGGTACCATTATCTTTACATGTATGTACATGTGTATACATTTGTATGTAGAATAGCTATTGCACAATTCACCCTATACAGTATATATGGAATAAAAGGATGTTAACCTACAGATCGATTATGCATTGGCAGAAAAGGTGAGGGTTCACATTATAAACAGGCCATCATTTTGATTGCATGTGGTTGATTTTGATCTTTTTTTTTTTTTTTTTGCATTCTTTATTTATAGAAAGTATCATACAGTAGAGAGGTTTTATTCCCTTTATTTACCTAGAGATGTATCTTTAAATACTCCAGGTTGTAAACCTCAGACATGAAATATGAACAAAGCATATCCCTCTACAATGTGTATTTGTTTCAATGAAGAGCAGTGTCATTTCTGTCTCCTGCTTTGCTCCTCTGCCATCAGCATGAATCACTTCTGACAAGTTTTCCGGACACCAAGAAAAAAAAGGTGACGGGAGGGAGCTCCAGCTGATTGACAGCCTCAGCTCTGTTCCTGTGTGCTGTGTGAAGGGGCTCTGTCCCTTCCTTCTAATCAACTCTCACAGCCCTCTTCACTGAGCTCTGCAGAGTGTAACTTCAGCTCTCCGCCGCTTTTTTCCGACAGCTCAGACAAGCCTTAAAAATTCTTTGAATGGATGTAGGGAAGAGATGGCTGCAGATAACTATGTATAACTTATATAGGAGGATTTTTTTTTGTATCTGTGTATCACCTAAAGCCAGTCACTTCACTGTGAGTTGCTGTGGCTGTAAGTTGCAGAGAGAGCCATACAGGGGATCAGTTCCAGTAATTGCCCCCTCCCCAAACCCATCACCCTTCTTGTTTCCCTTGCTGCCCATGCCCTCCTGTGTGCCCCCACCCCTGCAGTGCAGTGCTGTCGGCTTCCCTCCTCTCCTTTCCACCGGCAGCTGCAAGCACACAATAGGATCCTGCAGGATTGAGAGTGGGGGAAGGTGAATATGTCACATTTACCTACCCCTTTCTTGCCTGAATGAACACAATGAGTGATTAGTACTGATCATAATGGAGGCATTGTAAACTGTTTTTTTTTTCCTTGGGGGGGGGGGGGGGGGGGGAGGAAGGTGATTGGCTGTATGGGGCCCCATGGTTTCTAACAGCCACCCTGGCGAGGAGGCAAAGTTAATGGGTTAAAGTGAAAATTTAGGCCAGAACTAAAGATGGACGAACAGGTAGGAATAGACAAAACGTGCCGGCATTAAAGTTACTTGCCTGCCTGTCTGCAATTGAAAAGTGAGCTGTGCATGCATGCCAATGACAGCGTCTGGCAATCGAGACCCAGAAGCCGGCTGCCTGAAGATGTCAGTGGCCATGCGAGGAGCTAGGACACGCCGTATCACTAGAGCTGAGGTGAGTTCCCCTTTACGCTGGCCATAGATGGATATAATTTCTAAAAATTCTTGAGAAAAGTCTTAGGAAAATTCATACATTTTAACATTTGATTTTGGAATGTATGGACTTCACCAAATGAAAACCATATACTGTACACAGTTAGAAATTAATTTGTTTGAGAAAAATATTCCATCCTATTTCAAATTTTCTCATCACTGTGATTGAAAACAAACATCAGTTTGACCCCACTTATGATTAGAAAAAGGAATGAACTTTGTTAGAACATTTTTTTCCAAAGAATTTTCATTCAAAATTCTACTCATAGGCTTTCCTACTAACGGTTAGCTGACAGCTAGCTAACAATGCTGACAGAAGCAGCGTTGTGTTTCATTCCAAAACTGAATTTCCTACTGTGAATAGTTCTGTAAAACTGCAATACAATCGCATAAACTGAAGTTACAATATGCTTGTAAATATGTCTCTCACAAATGTATGCAATGAACACATTTCTTGCAAACAGCTACCTACAAATCACATTAAATATATTGAAATGTGATCTAGATATATATGTGACTTTAACAAACACAATAAATGAACTTACAGGCATATGTGTATCAAAAGGAGGAAGGAGGCCTCCTGGTGTGTTCTTCTGGAAGCTAAACTAGAACTGCAGTGGTAGATGGAAAATCTTTATTTTTATCAAGCACGAGACTCTCCCTGTTTTTTATTGACAAAGGTTCAAAAGAGTGCAATTGTAGTGAATGTCTAATAGATGGCTCCCTACTCAGCACAATGATGTGAACACAGAACAATTCATCTATAGCCAGCTTTAAAGTGATTGTAAAGGATTTTTTTTTTTTTTTAAGAACACATCATACTTAACTGTTCTGTGCAATAGAATTGGACAGAGTGGCCCCGATCCTCCTCCTCTTGGGTCCCCTGCCAGCGTTCTTGGCTCCTCCTTTTTTTGTTTGTGCCCCCAATAGGAAGCTGATTCCCATGGGGCACTCGTGTGGGCTCGCTTCTGAGTCCCGCTGCTGCATCCATTGACACAGACAGCGTGACTCAGCCCTGTCCCCTGCCTCCTCATCAGTTAGGAGGGACAAAGCCAGGAGAGCCACAGCTCTCATGCATGGTACTGTAACCCGATGGGGCTCAGCTATGTATAAGGGGAGTGAGGGGGCCAGTTTGTGACACAGAAGGTTTTTTACCTTAATGCATAGAATGCATCAAGGTAAAAAAAACCTTGAAGCTTTAGAACCACTTTAAAAACCACTTGCCGACCGTAATATGTATATAAACGTTGCAGTTTGCTGGGGTTCTGGCTGAAGATATCAGTCAAAACCCCAGCATCTTTATTTTCAGCCAGCGGTCGACTTTGACATAAGAGCGGTCTCAGATGCTTATTAGCTCATTCAGTAGCGGCAGAAGGGGACTTCCCCCAGCAATTTTTTTGTTACCTTTTGCTTTTAAAGGTAAATGAGAGATTTAGGGTCTTTTGACCCCAGATCTCCCCTTAAAGAGTATCTGTCATCCATATTTCTATTACAATGGATATTTACATGCCTTGCAATAGGAATAAAAGTGATCAAAACAAATAAAGGGAAAGTGTAAAAATAAAAAAAAAAAATTAAAGTGCCCCCATCCCTCCGTGCTCGTCCACAGAAGTGAACACATACATACATAAGTCGCGCACGTATGTGTAAATAGTGTTCGCAGCACACGTAAGGTATCGTCGCAAACTTTAGAGCAAGAACAATAATTCTAGTGCTAGACTTCCTCTGCAACTCTAAACAGGTAACCTATAACAATTTTTAAAGCATCGTCAATGGAGATTTTTAAGTACCGTAGTTTCTCTCTCTCCATTCCACGAGTGTGCGCAATTTTAAAGTGTGACATTAGGTATCTATTTACTCGCCATAACATCGTCTTTCATATTTTACAGAAAAATTGGGGAATATATTGTGTTTTGTTTTAATTAATTGATGTGTATTTTTTCCCCAAAAATTGCGTTTGAAAAAGTGCTGTGCAAATACCATGGGACATAAAAAAATTGCAACGATCACCATTTCATTCTCTAAGGTCTTTGCTAAAAAAAAAAAAAAAAAAAAAATATATATATATACAGTTGCAAGAAAAAGTATGTGAACCCCTTGGGATTACGTGGAGTTTTGCATGAATTGGGCATAAAATGTGCTCTGAACGTCATCTAAGTCACAAATATAGAAGAACACAGTCTGCTGAACATAATACTACACAAACATTAGATGTTGCCATGGTTTAATTGCACATAACATGTAAACATTCACAGTGCAGGGAGGAAAAAGTATGTGAACCTTGGCAACATCTAATGTTTGTGTAGTATTATGTTCAGCAGACTGTGTTCTTCTATTGTTGTGACTTAGATGACGTTCAGAGCACATTTTATGCCCAATTCATGCAAAACTCCACGTAATCCCAAGGGGTTCACATACTTTTTCTTGCAACTGTATTTATTACACAGGATTTATATAGCACCAACAGTTTGCTCAGCGCTTTACAATATAACGAGAGACAATACAGCAACAATACAGTTCAATACAAGAGGGATAGGAGGGCCCTGCTCCTTGGAGCTTACAATCTAGGAGGGAATATATATATATATATATATATATATATATATATATATATATAAAATGTTTAGGGGTTATAAGTAATTTTCTAGCAAGAAGTACTGATTTAAACTTGTAAACAAAAAGTGCCAGAAAAGCTTAGTCTAATGTTTAAAGCTGAAGTTTGTTTTTTTTGAGAGGGGGAGGCATATAGCACCCAACACAGCTAAATGACATTCAAGCACTCATTTGCAGAATGCAATGCATTGTATGAGAAAAGTAATATGAGGTCTCCAAATTGTGGAGAGGGGATGGGCAAGCGGGGTAACATTCCACACTAGCAGGGTTGCTCATTAGAAGATAACCATTTGGGGTAATATCCAGCAAAATTATGAAGGTAGGACTATTACAAGAAACAGCAGTCGGCAAGTAATGGAATATGCATCAATACACATAATGAAAGTGTTTGGTGCTGTATCCCCCCAAAATTTCAGCTTTAGGGAGGCAGTAGGTAAAAGTGTAGTTATTAAAGAATATGTCAACACAACATTTCATATTCCTGATACAGTATGTGCTTGCTGTACCATGCACTTGTATAAAAAAAAAGTATCTTGTATTCTTTGTATTGCTTCCTGTGTGTTCCTGTCAGGGCTTTTTTTCTCAGAGAATAGGTGCAGGAACCCCCCCCCCCCTTCTGAGTCTCCGCCCCTCCAAGCACCATCCCTTGATTCCACCTCCCAGTACAGAATACAGAATCAAGTATCATATTGTGCTAAGTGTAGCACTATCCCCGTAGGGGTTGGTGAAGCTTTGGGTCCCCCTATAGTTCTGCATGGCCAGGCAACACGCATTTTCTTCAGAGTTGAATTCCAGCTTGCACACAGGAGACAGTAAACAGTCCTTGAGCTTGCTTTTTATGTTTTATTAGGGGAATTGAACTTGGATGGGGTAAGGGGAGTATGGGATGCC